TCCTTTACAAACTGTTATGCCTCCTGACCTTCCCCTCGCTGTGAGCGGGATGGGTACTGCTGCGACTCCTGCTGCTGCGTCTGGGTCAGGCAGTAGTCGTCCTGCTGAGGGTAGTGCATTTCGCCCTTTCCAGCGTATACCCCGTCCTGATTTCTTTGATCCTTACTGTGAGCGAGTGCTTACGCTGGATGGGGTTCCCTTATCCCATCTTACTCGCCTGAGTTTGCGCGCAATGCGCCATAAAATGTTGGCTGATGACGTGAAGGCCAATCCCCCTGATGTGTCTCTTGTTAGCCCCATTGCCCATGTTCAGCCTTTAAACAATTTTGCTTGGCTTGATGACATGGCTGACATGCATCGGTTTGATCATTATGTAGTGCGCGGTGGGAATACTAGGGCTTCATCACCTTCTCCTTCCCCAGCAGTTCAATCAAGTAGAATGGCTAAGTCTCCTGGTGACCGCTCATACTTCAATTGTCAGCCCACTTATGTTGTTGAGCTCGTAGAGGAGGGCAAGACTGAATTCTTCCTTGATGACAAGTGGTATGGGCCTAAGAACTGTGTGCTAGATTCCAGTTGGCGTAAGGACGCTGAGAGACTGGGCCTGGTTGTTGTTGGGCAGAAGTTTTACGGTTTTGGGGAGGGCTACGAGCTGGTTCTGCCTGCTACCGGTGCAAAGTTATCAGCCCCTCCAACAGGTCATATTACTATGTTTTCCTCTCAGCTAGACTTGGGCTTTAGGTTCCCCTTGGACCCTACCTTAGAGAAGCTACTACGTGCTTTTAACATCTGCATATCTCTGGTGCACCCTGCCTCCCTTCATACCCTGATTTGTCTACTGTGGTTTTTGAGGTTTCGAAGGTACCCTGAGCCTCTGCATTTATTCAAGTCTCTTATGAGCCTGAAAAGATCAGCCTCTGGGACTGAGTTAGGGTGGTACTATGTCGCTCCCAAAGAGAGTAGAGTCTTATCCTACCCAAAACTTGGGCGTTTCTAGGACTGTACTAGCAAGTTCTTCTGGGTGAGGGTGCCTTCCAATTTTGCTGCTCCGCACAACTTTAGAGAGATTCGCACCAACATGGCTGGGGTCATAGTTTCTCCCTCTGAACCTGCTCGTGAGACAGAAGCTTTTGAGGCTCTACAGGGAGCGGGATAAGTGACTCCAAGTTTCCCAAGGTCTAGCTGCCCAACTCTATTTACATCGTGGGTAATGAGCAGCTTTCTTCCATGCGTTTGTGCCGTACACATGAGTCTGGTAAGCTCTTTCTGCCTTCTGCCCCTTTTTTTTGTTTTCTGTCTTTTCTGCCTTATTTGACTTTTTGTCATTTTGTGTTTTTAGGCTATGACAAGTTGGACAAACGCATGCTCGTACTGGTCGATAATTGGAAGGACCCTTTGACTGCCACTCCTGAGAACCCTCCTTAGCTCTTTGATACGCTAGAGGTGTTTGCGGGTTCCCTGAAGGGCGAGGTGCATTTGGCTCCTGCTGAGCTGCGCGCTGTTGTTGGCACCGTGGCTACTGGCGAGCGTGCTGGGTCCAGCCGCGCTGAGCCTGAGCCTTCGTCTTCTACTGTTGGGAGTAGGCGTGATACTCGCCCTGCTCCTCGAATGGAGGCTTCAGATTCTTAGGCGTTAGTGGCGCCTACTGCTTCCTCTGAGAAGCAGTCTGTCGCGGCTTCCGGCTGGGTGGCACCTCAGACTTCTGCTGCCTAAAGGCCACGTGAACAAGCTTCTGAAAGAACCAAAGGCTACTGCCGATGATTTTGCTGACAGTGTTCTCCAGTTTCCCTCTGAGGGGATTGAGACCACTGCTGCGGGTGAAAAACCTGTTTCCTCTACTGAGCATGTTTTGCTCTTTCCTACTTCTACTGATGATGCTGCTGCTGCGAAGGGCACTGTAGTTCCTTCTGTTCCAGCTACTGATTTTTAGCTCCCTGATGAATTTGTCCAGGAGCTTCCAAGAATTCCGCCGCGTCCCTACGGGTTGAGGGGTCGGCTCCGAAGCGCTACCCGGGGTGGGCTCTCCCGAGCTGCGGGCTCTCTCCAGCAGGATAGTCCAGTGATTGACCTGGAGGACGATCCTATGTCTTCTGCCCCTGCTAGGGATGAGCTAGAGGCCAAAAAGGCTTGCACTTCTCCTGGCCCAGATCCTCTTGCTTCCACGTCTGCCAACACTAGACTTCCAGGTGGGAACGTTGGTGGGGGAGACACTCAGAACTCTAGTGAGCTTAACCACTGCGTTCATTAGTTCTTTGGTGATGCATTTGAGAATCCTCTTTCTGCGTCCTCACTCTCTACTGGAGGGACTTTTCGCCCTACTGGGGCCATTGAGTTTGCTGAGGTCCCTATTGACATTCATCTTCGCCCAATACTCTGTCCTTCTAGAGCTGAGAAAGCTCCCTTTCGGCCTTTGATGAATGTGAGGGCTGATGAGTCTTTATTTGTAGACAACCCTCAGAAGGGTGGTACTCTAGGATACTGCCTGACTCAAGGGGTTCGTCTCCCTGCGGATTCTACGCGCAACTCAGTTAGCCTTCCAGCAGCTACCGCTTGCCATGATTTGCAGAAGGTTAGTTCCTGCTTTTGGCTTTTCTTTTTCTCGTTTCAGCTTTTCTCTGCTTGTTTTGTCACTGCTGTCTTGTTTTTCTTATTATTATACTTTATATTTTTTTATCGTTAACTTCTTTTGTTAACTCCCACTTTGGCTGACTCTTCTTTTCTGCTTTTCTTGCAGCTTGTTATGTCTGTGGGAGATTTGTCCAATGCCTTGCTGCTAGTGGAGAAGGAATATCAGAACAAGGGTATAACTCTTTCCTAGAAGACTCTGGAGGTTCAGCGGGCTCAAGCTAAGAGGGATGCTATGGCCAATGAGGTGACTCCGCTGAGGGAGAAGGGGGATGCCTTGCAACTCCAATTGGGAGAATTTCAGCTCACTCAGACCAAGCTGAAGGACTGCGAGGAGTAGTTGGGGACTTCTCAGGCCAGGGTGAAGACGTTAGAGGCGGAGGTGGCAGACTTACAGGCTGCGCATGCTGTTGCGCTGGAGGCTGCTAGGAGAGAGGCTCCTGGCTGATCGCCATGATGGAGGATGGGAAGCTGCGGCACGATGCGTTAGCAGCTTGTATGGTGAGGGTGAAGAGAAGCAGACTCGCTTTAATGCCTTCTGGGCTAAGGTTGAAGCTGCAGGTGAGGCTGGTTTGTTCGATCTTCCCGCTGATCACCCTCGCGCTGCTGGCTGTAAGATCCCTAACCAGGCCGTGCTGAACTTGGAGGTGCCTCTCTGCCCTGACGTTGCTGTAGCTATTGGAGTGGAGTCTCTGACTGATGATCAATAAAGGTTATGGCGCCTGTCACCCTCCTACTCCAGTGGTTCCTCTGAGTTTCCCTCACCCAGATCTGTTGTAACTAGGTAGTTTTTGTTACTATCTTTGGGGTGTATAGCTGCCAAAGATTATGTTTCTCTGTGTATTTTCGGAATACTTTTTGTTTCGTTGCTGGGTCTGTCCAGCTTAACTTGAATTTGTGATCTTCTAACTTTACCCGCTGAGTGTTTCCTTGTTCTAGTGGATGAGGGCTCAGCTTTATTTGTTCTGTGACTGACCTGCTCAATGTTTACTCTGCCTTGGTGGGCAGGGGTTCAGCCTTATAATGTATGTTCCTTATGATCTCCTCTTGCAGATTTTCTTGTTGTTTACTTCATTGTTTGCATGCTTGCTCTTTATTACGTTTGGTGGGGCCTCGTAGGTTGGGCCTTCCTGTCTTTTTAATTTAGCTGCCTAGCGCTTTTTTGTTTCTTTTGCGCTCTACTGTACTTCAACAGGGACTTTGTTACATTTTGTCCTTCCTGCTTTATCTGCTTCAAGTGTTTCCGCGTTGTGTACTTCACTTGGCTTTGACCAAAGGCTTCGTTTGCGTGCTGTTTGACATATTTGATTGAGCGTTATTTGAATTATCCTTGCTTAGACATGTTTGTGTCGATCAGCTTTTTGCTTATTTCGTCTGTGTCATCAGCTTGCTTTACTGTGACTTATTTGTGTCGTTCAGCTTATCTATGCTGCGACTTGTTTATGTCATTCAGCTTGTTTATGTTGCGACTTATTTATGTCATTCAGCTTGTTTATGCTGCGACTTATTTATGTCATTCAGCTTGTTTATGCTGCGACTTATTTATGTCATTCAGCTTGTTTATGCTGCGACTTATTTATGTCATTCAGCTTGTTTACTGCCTGCTTACTTCTTTTTGTAAGGGCTTACTGCTTGACTGTCTTCTCCTTTCCTCTCCCCCTCAAAGAGATGGGCTGAATGGGGCTAAGAGAACCTTAGTGTTGCCCACGTAGCTCATCTTCTTCTTTTCCTCTCTTTTCCCCTGCTCAAGGTGAACGTGTCAGGCTCCCCCTCAGGCGCCCCCGAGGTGGTGCCCTGTTTTGCTTTTCGCAGGTGAGGTGAGGTTTTGAGGAGGGATGCTTTCACTTTGTCATTTTGCTTCTTGCCTCTAATACTTTATTATTATTCTTGTTTGATTTCTCCATGTTAGTATATGATGCTTGGGCATATTATATTAAACAAATTGTGCAACATACTCCTCACGCAGAGGCTTGTATTTCATTGAATAAAAATGGCTCAAATGCCTTAGTTAACATAACATTGACTGAATAAAGGTTTATTGACTTGAAACAGTTATGTTTCACGCTATTTAAACAAAAATTTTCTTTAACACATCAGCATTGAAACTGTTTCTTAAGACCTGACCTTCTTGATCTGCAAGGAGGAACGCGCCTGGTCCAACCTGCTCGTGGATGATGAAAGGGCCTTCCCAGTTTGCTGACAGCTTTCCATGCTGATTTCCTCTTCCAACTGCTGCTGTCCTTCTAAGGACTAAGTCTCCTGGAAGGAGCTCCCTATGCTTGACCCTTTTGTGGAAAACTTTTGAGATCCTGCTCTTTTGGGCTGCCAACTTAAGGGTTGCTTTTCATTTCCTTGCTTCTCATAGTGTTGTATCCTCAAGCTAGGACGACTGCATCAACCCCGTAGGCCAGGGTGAATGGGCTTTTACCGGTTGACTCCTTCTTAGTGGTCCTATTTGCCCACAAGACCTCTGGGACTAAGTCCGCCCACAGGCCCTTGTACTCCTCCAGCTTCTTCTGTAGGGCTGTTAGGATCAGCTTGTTTGCTGCTTCTGCTTGGCCATTGCTCTGCGGGTGGCAGACTGAGGCACTTGCATACTTGGTGCCCAAATCCCCTAGGTAGTCCTTTATAGTGTCGCAGTCAAATTGGCACCCATGATCAAAGGCTATGCATTGTGGCACCCCGAATCTAGTGATGATGCTCTTCCATATAAATGTTCTGACCTAGGTTGCCTTTATGTACTTGATGGGCTCAGCTTCTATCCACTTTGTAAAGTAATCTACTGCCACAATGAGATACTTCCTGCCCGCTGACCCAGTGGTGAAAGGTTCCAATATGTCCATTCCCCACTAAGCGAACGGGATCGGGCTGAGGATTGGAGTCAGACCGTTTGCTGGCTGATTTATGAGTGGTGAATATTTTTGACACTTGTCGCATTTTTTAACATATGCTAGTGCGTCTTACGTGAGAGTTGGCCAATATGCTCCTCTTCTAAGGACCTCTACTCCCAATGCTTTCCCGCCGATATGGTTGGCACATATTCCGGAGTGGGCTTCTTCCATAATGCCCTCCTGCTCCCATTCTAGAATACAGCTCAGCAGTGGCTTTGAGAAGCCTTTCTTGTTGAGCTCTCCATTCATCACTACATACCAATTTGCATCTTTCTTCACCTTTTTAGCTTGTACCTCATCATCGGGCAGCGAGCCATGAAGTTTGTACGCCAAGATGTCTGAGAACCAGGCTCTCTGACTCCCAACACAGTTTACCTGCTCCTTTTCAGTGATGCTGCTTTCCTCTAACACTTCGACCATCACTGTTCTTGTGAGGTGGAGCTGGCTAACTTAGATAAGGCGTCAGCCTGAGAGTTTCCTGCTCTGGGGACCAAGTCTATCTGGAAATGGACTAGCTGGGCTGCCAGTTCTTTCACTTTGGTTACATATTTCATCAGAGTGACTTCCCTTATCTCATACGCCCCCTGTAGTTGGCTGGCAACGAGCTGAGAATCAGTCTGCAGGTGTACTTTGCGGGCTCCGGCTGCGAGGCTCATACGTAGGCCTGCCAGCGTCGCCTCATACTCTGCTTCATTAATAGAAGCTTTGAACTTGAACTTGATGGCATACTCAAATACGTTTCCTTCTGCAGACGTCATTATGACTCCTGCCCCACTCCCCGTTTGGGCTGAGGATCCATCCACTTCCACCTTCCAGACCCCAATGTCATCCTCTTTCTCCTCATAGGAGGCTTCCACTATGAAGTCTGCTAAAGCTTGTGCCTTGATGGCTGCTCTAGGCTTGACCTCGATTTAATACTCAGACAGCTCGATTGCCCACTTTAAGAGTCTACCCGATGCATCCATCTTTTGTAATGCTTTCACCAACGAGTGGTTTGTGAGGACCTCTATTATATGCGCGTCAAAATATGGTTTTAGCTTTCTTGCTGCTGTGACCAGTGCAAAGGCTAGCTTCTCTACCAGGGGGTATCTTTGCTCTACCTCGGTCAGCACGTGGCTCACGAAATATATCAGCCATTGTTGCTTCTATCTTTCTAGCAGCAGAACGGTTGCGATTGTCTGTATTGACGCTGAGATGTACAACTGCAGTTTTTCCCTCAGCTCCAGGCTGAAGCTTAGTCAGATGCTCCTTAATACCTTCAAAGGCTTCTTTCTCCTTAGTCCCCCACTTGAATTCTCTGTTTCCTTTCAATAGCTGATAGAATGGCAAGGCTTTGTCTGCTGACTTGTTGATAAATCTGGTCAGTGCGGCCATTCTGCCTTCCAACCGCACGATATCTTTGATGCTCTTAGGCTCGGGCAGAGTGAGGACTGCTTCGACCTTTTCTGGGTTGGCATCTATTCCTCTATCGGTGATCAGAAAACCCAAGAACTTTCCAGAGCTCACTCCAAAGACACATTTCTTTGGGTTGAGCTTGATTTTATACTTGTTTAGGGTGGCAAATGTTTCCTCCAGATCCATGACATGTCCAGCCTGCGTGACGCTCTTAACAATTGAGTCGTCAACGTATACTTCCACATTTCTTCCCTTCTGGTGAAGGAACACTCTATCCATTGCCTTCTGAAAAGTTTCTCCAGCGTTCTTCAGCCCGAAGGGCATAGCTATGTAATTATACACTCCCCCTTCAATAATGAATGCAATTTTCTGCCTGTCTGGCTCGTGCAAGCTGATCTGATGGTATCCTGAGAAGGCGTCCATGAAGCTTAGCAGGGCGTGCCCGCTGTTTGAGTCTACCAGTTGAACTATCCGTGGTAGTGGGTAGCAATCCTTCGGGCAGGCTTTATTAAGATCCGTGAAATCAACACACATTCTCCATTGGCCATTTGCCTTCTTTACCATGACCACGTTGGCTAACCATTCTGGATAGTCACAGGGTTCAATAAATCCTGCTTCCAAGAGTTTTTCCACCTCTTCCTGGATTGCCGTGTTTTTCTCTGTGGAGAAGCTTCGCTTTTTCTGCCTGACTGGCCTATTATCCTCCTTCACATTCAGCTTATGCACCATGACTGCTGGGTCAATTCCGGGCATCTCATCTGCGGAAAATGCAAAAATGTCTTTATTCTTTCTCACTAGCTCTATGAGGTGCACCCCTACTCCTAGATCAATGTCTTTCCCAATTTTCACCGTCCTCGAGGGATCACCTACTGTGAGCTCGACTGTGACATGCTCCCCGCTGGGAAGTGGCCTGGCCGTTTCTTCTTTTGCTGGCTCGAAGTTTTCCATTGCCAACTTCTATTTATCTTTTTCCCCGTGATACTCTTCACGCTTCCTTTTCCTCGACTTCCTCTCAGGTTGCTCAGGGAGCCTTCTCTCGGAATCGGACTGCTGTCTGGTTTTGGCAGGCTGCTTTAAGGCAGTTATGTAACATTGTTCGGCTGTCTTCTTGCTTCCCCTGAGCTTTGCTGACCGACCCTCATTAGTTGTGTAAGCCATGGCTAGGTGGTAAGTGGATACCACCCCGCCTATCTTGTGGATGAGCGGTCTTCCCATGATTACATTGTAGGGTGAAGGGGAGTTTATCACGAGAAATTCTGCTCGGACATCACGCCTTCTTGACCTCTCTCCTACCTTGACTGAGAGTTCGATTATGCCTTCTAGGGTAAGCCCCGAGCCATTAAACCCGGTGACCTCGTAGTTTACTCTCTTCAAGTCTTTTCTGTCCAACTTCAGCTCATTGAACGCACTGATGTATATGATGTTGGCTGAGCTGCCTCCGTCTATCAGTACTCTATCCACCTCCTAGTTTGCAATTCTCATTGTCACCACCAGCAGGTCATCATGAGGATAAATTATGCCCTTCTGGTCATACTCGTCAAACGTGGCTCGTAGCTACGGGGGAAGAGGTGGCCATTTACGCTTATCATTGTCGTTTATTTGATGTATCATTTCCCACAGGTCGGCCCGTGCTCTATTAACTATCCCCCCATGTACTGGACCCCCGCTGATCACGCACACCCTGCCCTCTAGCTTGCCATCTCTATCTTTATCTCCAGCTGGGCCCTTATGACCTCCTCTACGGTCAGCTCGGCCTACTCTATCCTCCTTCCTTGTTCTAGGAGGGTCATCACGCTGCTTAAATTGACTCAAGTATTCTCTCCTGACTAAGTCCTCTATGTTGTCCTTTAAGTGCGTGCATTCTTCAGTGGTATGGCCATAGTCCGTGTGAAAGTCACACCACTTAATGGTATCACGACTCCTGTTTACCATCCTTGGAGGCCTCTGCCACTTATCATCAGCCTTATTTACGCTGAATATGTGAGATCTGGAATGGGTTAGTGGGGTGGGTATACTGATCAAACTTCCCAAGCCTTGGCCCTCTCCTTGGATCGGACCTTCTCAGTCCCACTGCCCTGTCCGCTTCTTTGCGGTTTTGCTCAGCCCTGCTTGGCTGGTCCACCCTGGGTGTGTTCTCTTACCCAGCGCTTCAGCGTGCGTTTTGAGGCTCTTACGCCCCATATATACTCTAAATGGTGATCTTTGCAGTAGGCCACTCTACATTGCTAACAACGCTACCTCCTGGCTCATATTTGGAATGGTTGTTGCCTCGTTGAATCTGATGATGAACTCCCTCGGGGGCTCATCTTTTCCCTAAACCAGGGACATCAGCTCGGTTGTCATCTTGGTTCTGTCCACCAAGGTTATGAAATGCTCCATGAACATTCTCTTCAGCTGGCTGTACGAGTATACAAAACATTTGGGGATGGCGCCGTACCATTCTGCTGCCAGCCCCTCCAGAGTTGGTGGGAAAGCCTTATACCAGACTAAGTCTGTCATGGTGTAGGGTACCATATGATTCTCAAAAGCTGATATGTGGCTTTTGGGTGTTGTTGTTCCATTGTACTTGCAGCCCGGCATCTTCACCTTCTCCATGAGTTCTTCCAAAATCTCCCGGCAAAATTGGGAATCATCTTGAACAACCTGGATTCGCGCTCGTTTGTCTCTCTCAGGGTTAGGTCCTCGCTCATAGCTGGTGACCTACTGCGAGGGACCCGCTTCTCCGGGCTGATTCGAGCGGGGGTTATTTCCTCCACGCTCCTTTTGGATCGCTGGTTACTGGGGGTGTTTTTTGTGGTGTTTGGCTGGTCTCATTAGTTTTGGACGCGGGTGTTTGTACAGTTTCTTCTCCGGCCATGGTGGTTAGTTAACTAGTCCCTGGCTCAGTTTGTGAACCTCATGTTAGATGATCCTTTCCCCTCCTTCTAGCGCCAATTGTTCCATGTATGGATCCAAGGGTTCTGCTGGGTAAGCCGGGTCCCGTCAACAACCTACACAAGGAAGCACACGTAAACTGCCCTCGGGGGTGGCTCGAGGAACCCCCTTTCGATGCTTAAGTTAGAGAGTGTTTACAGAGAGAAAGTGTACTTAGAGAGATGTAGAAAGTGTAATAACTTGAGTGTCTAACCTCCTTTCCGTTGTACTTTACCCTCTATTTATAGACGTACTATCTCCTTCGTGGAGAGTTTAGCCTGGTCAGCCCTACGGGCTGACTCTGCCGGGCTGTTGAGCCCTCCTTTAGTTGCCTATTCGGAGGTGAGTGCGCACCCTAGGGGCTGGGCGATAGTTCAACGGGAGCTATCCTATATAGTTATTATTATTATTATGTTCATGTTTGTGTGTGCAAGGAAATGTGACAAATAATTTTGCGCGAAAATTCCATCATTTTTATTATTGATGGAGGGTATCCGACTTTCTCCCCCAAAAAAGAAAAAATGAAAAAAGGAAAAGTCAAATAAAATATTGGATTTATAAGAACTTGGAAGTTAGTCCAAATAGAATCAGAAAAATAATTTAATTAATATAACAACTATATTAATCAAAAGAGACGACTAAATGAATATTTTAGGAAAAAATAGGGAAACCGTAAGGTCGTTAGCAGACTCGAATCAAGTCCAAAACGCATTTTTTTAGAAAGCGCGTGCGATGAGGCCTATTGGCGTCAGCTGGCGCCACGCGTTTTGGTGTAGCGCTAGGCGCTACACGTAGCGTTTGGCGCCAGGCTCTGGCGTCAAGCGCCAATAGTTGGCGTCTAGCGCTAAAGAGCGCTGACTCCGAATCCTTCCTGGATTAAAACTGCTACGATTTTGTACATAAATAGCACCCATGCCCAGCCGATTCTCTTCATAATTTCAGCAAATAAAATATTTCTTAGCTTTTAGAAAAATAATATCATGTCTCTAGTCTCCAAAACTTTTACCAAGTACACCCATGAATGGTGTCGGTCTCTTAATTCCAAAGAGAGAAAAGAATTAGATGCGTTTCACTTGGGGGGGTATTTATGGTATCAAAGGGGTAGATCTTGA